ATGATGTGAATGTGTGTGAATAATAGATTTGGGTAGGGCATATGAATATGAATGCAATGATTAGGCAGCCATAATCTGACTTCGTGGAGGCATTGTTCTTCCATTTTTGTCTTTCTCCCTCTTTTTAAGTTTACATTGACTTTTTAAACGTAAAAAAACAAAAGCCTTTAAAGCTAAAAGTATTTCATAAATTTCAAATTTCTTTTTGCGCCCCATGAATTGTTTTGTCAACTCGTTCTTCATTCCATAAAATAAATAAAGAAATTCTCATATGATGATAATTACTTTCTGTTTTATTATTTTTTTAATCGTAAGTAAGTACTCTATAAAACATATTTCAGCACTTTATTTGGTAATGAGCCTACAACACTCGTTGCTCATTTCAATAATTTTTACAAAATACTTTATTGTAATTTCTATAGATAAAAGTCATAAAACTAGTATTCCAAAAGTTATATCTGGTTTGTTTTAAAAAATGATCCTTAACACTTGTTTCTAATTATGTTTTTGTATAATGCTGTTTTCATTAATTTATAAATTCCCCTTGAATTCTGTATTTTAGACTATAGTTCTACTATTCTAACTTTGATATATAGATGAAAGATCCCAAAAAGAAATTATTTGGTAGATACTAAATATTATAAAAACAAAATTTTTTTACCTGTATCAAGCGCGGGATTATAATATTCGAAAAGAAAAATTTATGATTTTTTAATAAAAATTAGAAAAAATAGAAATCACAAATATCAAATGGTATAACTCTCATACGGATAAATATATTTTATCTAAAATTTAATTTGCATTGAGTATAAGCATTTTTTTATGTAAATTGAATATGCTTGAGATTATTGATTCTTTCAAACTTATTTAATTTCACCAAAACCAAAAACAAGATTACGTTAGTATGGAAAAATATTTTCAAATAAAAAATCAAAGAAACAATAAAGATTTAAAATGATGATGTTTCGAAATTCAAATATTAACGTTTGATTTGTAAAGTTAACGTTT